TTAACAATATAAGATATAATAATAAAGTAAGAAAAATAATATAACTATTTAATCGGAAGAAAACCAAGGGTAACAACACACATGTATATGAAACAAAAATATTTTTTTTATTGATTTTATTGATCACAATGATAAATAGATCTATAAATTTTATTGACCAAAATTAATTACATGTATTATCAAGTGATCGACTTCTGTAGTTGCTAATTAAAATATTTATTTTGATAAATAATTGGTTATCAAGACAATTTTGAAAATAGCAATAAAATAATTATAGTAATAATTATTAATAATTATTAATTAATATTTGATTTGAAGTTTATTATTTAATTTTTTTATTCAGATAATTATAAAAATAAAATAATTTATTAAATATTTATTATTAATATTTCAGTTTTTTCAGATAATATATTTTTAGTTTCTTAAAATAATATATTTTTATAATTTGAATTATTTCAGATATAATTAACAAGTTAAAAGTACAAGTTATATTTCAAAAATATAAATTATCTATATTTATATTATATCAAATCTTGTCACTATAACTTATATAATTGGTTTTCAGTCAAGTTATTAATAAATTAGTAAGCTTATTTGTAAATTTATTAGCTTAATTAATTTTAATTATTTATTTTATTCTTTTGTATACTGTTTTTTATTTGACCTGTATATTATGATTTTTTATTTTCTAATGTTTAATTAATAGTACAAAGAATTGAATTTTGTTAAATCAAAAATAAAAATATATTAACACTTAACTAATCAAATATTTATTTTACTTATAATAGGATAAGAAAACTTAATTATAAAAAAAATTTACTTATTATCAATAAGTAAATTTTTCTTATCCTATTAAAGTAGTTTTTCTTATTCTAATATAAGTAAATTTTTCTTATACTAATGTGTGTAAGTTTTTCTTATCCTATTAAAGTAAGTTTTTTTTTATCTTATAAGTAGTATAGTAAGTTTTTCTTTTACTTATAAAAATAAATTTTCCTTATGCTAAATAAGTTTTTCTTATATTACTACAAATTTTTTTTATATTATAAGAAAAGTTTTCTGTTAAAAATAATTTTTCTTATTCTATTAAAGCAAGATTTTCTTATTCTATAAGTAATAAATTTTTCTTTTACTTATACTAATATAAGAAAAACTTACTTATATTAGTATAAGTAAATTTTCTTATGCTATTACAAAGTAAATTTTTCTTATATAAGTATAAGTAAGTTTTTCTTATATAAGTATATAAGTAAGTTTTTCTTATATAAGTATAAGTAAGTTTTTCTTATACTATCTCTTATATTAGTTTATATTAGTATAAGTAAATTTTTCTAAGTATTTTATTCTAAATAAGTTTTCTTATGTAAGTATAGATAAATAAATATGTTTTAACATTTCATGTCAAGAGGAAGCTAGTGTATTACTTGTAGAATTTTAAAGATGATTTGTTATTATCTTTTGAAAATTGATTTAATAAATTTTGAACTAAATATTCAAGATCTCTTCTATTATAGCTGAAGCTCCAGAAGCAAAAATTTCTTTTTGAATGCTTATGTAATGTACTCATTTATTTCTTGTGAAATTTCTATTTTTTTTTTTGTTAAAGAATTAAGTTTTATATTATATATAAAAAATTTGAAAATTATTTAAACAATGTAATTTAAAAGATTTTAAAGATAGAATTTTTTTTTAATCAAAATGATATTGTTATAATATTTAAATTAGTGTAAAAAATTAGAAACATTGAGATTTTAAAAAAAAATTATATTTTTAATGATAAATATTTGTATAAAGATCATCTCTTTTTTGTGGTCATATTTGCATACAAATTTTTTTAATCATTTCTATGGATAAATACTTACTAGAATTATAAATTGAAGAAAAAACTTTATAAAATTTTCTAAATTTCAAATCGTGTGCTACCAATAATACTTCAACATCATTTTTTAATTCTTTCAATAAAAATTTTGTAGTTTCTTTTACGGATTTTCGAGATGAGAAACTACTTGTTCCTAAATTTATTTTTTTGAATAAGAAATCATCCTTCTTGCATACGTTAATATTTTTTCTTTTAATTTCATTTTGTTTATTTTCATTTATTTTATTTCCTTCTCTTTTATTTTCTTTATTCTTCACCTCTTGTTTAACTTTGATAATAATAAAACTATTATTTTTATTTTCGTGTTTGTCAATAATATCTTTTTGATTATAATAATTTAAATAACTTTCCAACCACTCACGGATATAAGGGTCGTAATGATGATGTGATAAAATTTCAATATTTTGAAATTTTCTATTTCCAACCGAAATAAATTCGTGAATAATTTTTGGTTTGTGAATTCTTGATTTCGACCAAATTTGAAATTCATGTTGTGTGATGAATCGAACGTTTGGAAATAATTTTTTTAATAATTTATTATCAAATTCATTTAAATTAATTTCATTTTCTTGTGATGTTCCATTAATATTATTATTAATAATAGGATTTGAATGATTCCCGAATTTTCTAATAAGATCACATGAATAAAATGGGAAAGAATTATTATTTCCATTATTAACACTAATAATATGTGGTAATACTATTATACGATTTAATAATTGTGCTAAATTTATAAAAGTTAAAAATTGGATATGATTATGTTTTGAATTATTGTAGAAATGTGGTTGATAGGGAAATAAGAATTTACATTTATCTTCATTTGCACAGAATTTAAAGTTCAATTGAGAATCATTCAAAGTTTTGTAACGATGATGATCGTTGTGGTGATGGTGATAATAAGGATTTTGGGTATTAGTTGTAATATAAGGGATAGTTGTTAATTTTCTATCAGAAGGTTTATGTCTCGAAGTCTAAATTAAAGTTATTAATTTAATAATAATTAATGATAAATAAATAAAGAAATAATAATAATATAATAAGATAAGAATGTGTTTAAAGTTAAATTGAAGATATTTGAGGTGATTAAAATGTTGCAATTATGAAAAAAATGAGATAAAAAAAAACATACTTCGCGATAAATAACATTTAAGTTATCTTTAATATTATAAAATAATTCGAAAGTAATATAAGTTGCGATTAAGAAGAGTAATAAAAGATATCTTTGATCCCAAAATTTATTAAAATTGGCGAAATGTGTTTGTGAATTTGCTGTACGAATGTTGAGTACTTTCATGATGAATAAAATGAAATTTCAAAGTTGAAGAATAAAAAGAATAAAAAGAAACGAACAAATCAAAGCTATTTAGAATATAATACATTTAATCATTATCAAGTAGCTTTTTATTAATTTTCAAAATTTTTAAGAAGGAAAATATCCGAAATATCCAAAAATATTCTAAATATCCAAAATATTCAAAAAAAAAAAAAATTCGAAAAAATCGAAAAAAATCGAAAATATCGAAAATACCCAAAATATTAAAAATATCCAAAATATATATAAATTAATGAAAACCAGATGAGGCTTTGTATAGAGATTGAAGTAAAGATTTAAATCTTTGATAATTATATCAAATTGGCTTAGCGGTCCGGTCGGTCAAAGCCGCTTTAACAAATATAAGCCCCGATTTTTTTAACAATCACATTATTCAGTTACAGGTGTAAAATGACGCGAATGACGTATTTATTTGAAAATAAAGTTGATTATTTCATGATTTTAATAAAGTTAAAATAAAAGTTATCTGATCTGATTATGAATTGCAATAGGTTCCTTTTTTTTCAAATACCGTTCTAACTTTTTTTAATTATTTTCTTGATACAGAAAAATGTAGTATATACCAATGACAATAATAATTGATAAATGAGAATTTATTTCTTCGTTTCTTGGATCATAAATTCCAAAGAAGTCACTTCGATACGTTCGATACGTTCGATACGTTCGATACGATATTCTAGTTTCTAATCATTTCAGCCATTTCAATCATTTCAATTATTTCAATTATTCAACCATTCAAATCATTTCAATAATTGATTACTCGTTTTATTTTTCTTTTTGTTACCAATTATAGTAAAAAACATAAAATGGGGAAACAATTACAAAAAAGACAATTCTTTTAAGATTTAAATATGTAATACAAGTAAATTTTATCGAATATCAGAATATGTATTACGAATATCGAATTGAACTATAGAAATTGAAAATATCAGCGAATATTAGTATCAAAGATATAATCGCTATCAATATTTTGATGAAATATTTTGATATTTATACGAATTCTTCTTTTTTAAATAATTATAAATAATGGTCATACTATACTGTTTTAGGTTATAAGAAAACTTAATATAATACATATAGGATATTATGAATAAGTAAAATAAGTTCGATATTTACTCTTTGTTGTTAATCTTTATTGCTTTTTTGTTGTTACTCTTGATTACTTTTTTGATATTGCTTGTTATTTGTTGTTACTTTTTTTTTGTTACTTTGAGAATTTTCCTAAAATAGAGTGAATAATATAAATAAGGAGTGCATAAAAAAAAATATCATTACGCATTACGCATAGTAAATGAAATTATAAATTTATTATAATTATAATTATAATTTTATACATACATACAATACAGAACAGATTACTTTACGTACGTACATATATAATTTATAAAATATTGTATTTTAATAACGCGTATCTTTAATATTTTAAATATATATTCAAATATTGTCGCGGGTTTGATAAAATGTAATTTATAGAATGTATATGCAATATTTTTAAAAAAGTTAAAGTATAAAATTCGAAAAAGTATTTTTATATTGGAATAAAAAATAAATAAATAAAAAATAACTGTATTTTTAACTCAATTTCTAAATACAACCGATCATTGTTACAAAATTTCTTGTTCACCAAAAAACGATTTTAATTCTTTCTTTTACAGTAGAACAGATAAAATAATCAGATCTTTAGGAAATTTTTTTTTTTTTTTTGTGAAAACCGTTGATTTAAATTATTTAAATTGACGTTTTTTCTCCCTGCTCATTTTAATTATAACATTTTTTTTAATCATTTTTATTTTATATAATCCAACTTTATATAATCAAATTCATTTCCGTTCGTTCCATTCGTTATCTCCATTCGTTCGTTCATTTCCGTTCCGTTCGTCCATTTCTAACTCATTTTATTCTATTTATTCATTATAATAATTTCATTCATTATAATAATTTCGGGTATATAACTCTTTATACTTTTTATTTCTTTTCTCTCTTTATATATAATTTCAGTCTTTATAATAATTTCATTCATTCACTCTTTTATAATAATTGTATAAAAAGAAAGAATGACAATTCGAGATTTTAATAAAATTAATAATAAATATGGAGATCTTGAATTTATGGAACAATATCGATATATTAATGGGCGAAGATATCATAACGTAGAAAATATTTATTATTTTTTACCAAACGATAACGAAGAAATCAATAGAATAAGTTTTCAACATTGTTTAATAAAAAATATTTGGAAAGGAAATTTTTCTTCCCCTATAAAAGATAAATTAATTGCGGGAAACGATGTTAATGTTCTTGACATTGGGTAAATATAGTATATATATTAATATTATTATATTATATACTTGATTTATTTATATATTTATTAATATTATATTCTTTATAAATTATATATATTCTCAATATATAGATGTGGACCAGGTTCATGGATAATAGATGTTTCAATAGATTACCCATTATCAAATTTTGTTGGAATAGATATTACTAATTTGTGGGAAGCAGATATTAAAGAAAATTCAGCATTATCAAATGTTGGATTTTTAGAATATAATTTACTTGATGGTATTCCATTTCCTGAAAAAGTAATGGATTTTATACATTTTAGATTTATGAGTCTTTGTTTTGATAAAAGTGCTTTAATTAAATTAATTGATGAAATGGTAAGAGTTTGTAAATCTAATGGATGGATTGAAATTATGAATTTTGATTATTCTCTTATTAATATGGGTCCAACTACAAAATTATTAATGAATTCTAGTGAGTATATCTTGATTATTTCTTTTTTTTTTTGAATTTGAATTATATCCCTATTACATATGTCATTAATTGTCATTATTACATATTAACTTTTTAGTGTTGGAATTTCATAAATCAAAAGGATGTAATGTTCCTACTTTAAAAGATTATAAGAAATATTTAAAACAAACTAAACAAATTACTGATTTCCGAATTGAAAAAATAATTACTCCTCTTGGAAATTGGAGTGAAAAAATAGGTGGTGGTGTAAGTATTTACAATTATTTACAAGAATATTCTGGAAAATTCTACAAAAATATATATATATATATATCAATTATTAATATATTAATAATAACTTTTATTAAAGACATTATTAGGATTTAATTATTTATTTAAAGCCTTAAAAGGATTTCTCGCTCCCTACATGAAATTAGATGAAAACCAATATCAACAATTACTTCGTGAAAATGATCAACAAGTAAATGAATATAAAACAAGCATTCAAACTTATAGAATTTATGGGAGAAAAATTTAGAATTTTATATTATATATAGAAATTTATTTTTTAAATTTTTTATTTTTTTACATTTATCAGTTATATATACTATACATATATATTTATATATAATATATGTATATATGTACATACATTCATTCTTTTTAAATATTTTATTTGAAAGTGAAGATAAATTCAGTCATTCATTCTTTTTTTTATCTTTACAATATATATTATATTTTTTCACTTTATTATATTTTCACTTTACTATATTTTCACTATATTATATTTTCACTATATTATTATTTTTGTAAATTCTCGTTTAATATATTCCTGTACAAAAAAACAAAAATAAAAAAAAATAAAAAATAAAAAAATAAAAAAGATAAAAAAAAATTGCTTTTCTTACATAATCCCAGTAAAGTATTTTCTAGTATTTCGTCTGTTTTGTGTAAAAACGTTATCTCGTTGTCACGTTAATTATTTTTAATTATAAATTTATATAAATTTATGATTTTCTCTTTTAGTAAAAAAACTTGTTAAAATTTCTTTACATATATATATATGTATGTATTTTGTATCTTATCTGATCTAAATGTATATCTAAATATTATTTAATTGTTATTTAAAAATGTCATATAGTAATTATTTCTTAATTTTATAATACAAATTGAGTCAAAATAAATAAATAAATAAATAAATCAAATGAAGAACCAAATATAATCACAACGTGTTGATTACGAATCAAACTATTCCACTTTCAAACGGCCGCGTCATCATCATCGTCGCAGTAATCTTTTTATTAACGCAGTATTTTGCAACATTACATCATAAATCATCACCACCGCCATTTCACTGAAAAAAATGCTTATAAATACTATAAGTACGCCACTCATTTGACATGAAAAAAAAACTTTACTTTGCCGAATTTCTTTTTTCTCTTCATAATTTTTAAAGAAAATAAATTTATACAAGTGAAGAATTTCTCTTTCTCGAGAATCTCCAGTAAACTGCATAAAATAATCAAACTATTTGAAAACTATTGAAAAAAACATTGAAACTATTACAAACTATTGACAAATTAAATTATTACCACAAACTATTAAAAATAATTTATAAAACTTTATATTACTGATTATTATAAACTTCAAATAACTGAGGTTTTTGAATTTTACAAACAAATCAATAAAATTTGATAATAAAATAACAAATTAAAAATAAAATTACAAATGCAGTGTGTATCATCATCACAACAAGATAAACGTTCTATTAAACAAATAGTGGAAGAAATATATTCAATAATACAACCTACTTTACAACCATTGGATGCTTCAGATCGAGTTATTGTTGCAATCATAAAAGCATTAATTGCTCTAAAGAATGAACCTTCCAATCCCAGAACGTTAGCAACTTGTATCCAAAAATATGGTTTTACTACACTTGGGTAAGTATTTTATTGGTCAATCTTTGTATCCGTCATGTGATATTACTATTAATATTTTTTATTATTATAATAGAGGAAGTACACCATATGCGACAGTTTCAGGACATATCTCAACACATTTTACTCGTGTACGACAAGCAGCAATATCTCGACCAATTCTAGGAAAAATTCATCATCCTACATTAAAAAATAAAATAAATTATTACCTTTTGGATTCTGATAATGTGATACGAGATCTTATATCTCAATATTTCCCTTCAACGTCTGATGAATCATCACAATCATCTAATAATATAATAACGTCAATTAAGACGACGCCGACAAACAAGACAATAACGACAACTAAGATAAACAATACAAACAATACAAACAATACAAACAATATAAATAATCTAATCACGACGACGACGCCAACTAAGATAAATAAGATAAATAATCAACCAATTTCACCACCTGTTTCACCTATACCACTAAAAGATTTAGTATTAATAGATAATCAACAAATCACATCAAATACATTAAATAAATCAAATGAAAGAAGTCCAATAAATTCACCAATTTCATCTCCACCTATACAAGAAAGACATGAAAAAATTAATAAAATATCGGATAAAGATCAAATTTCCGAAGAAGAAGAAGAAGAAGAAGATAATAAAACCCAAGAGATAACGAATAATATTTATAAAATGGACATTAGTGAACAATTATTAAAAATTGAAGATGATAATTCAGTGGTAAATCCATTTAAACCAATAATCATAAATAAAAAGAGAAGATCAACTGAGAATGATGAAAATGATAGAGATTTACCTATATCAACAACTACATGTCTTTTATTTCCACAATATTTTCCATCACAACAACTTCCTCAATCACAAATATTACAACAATTACAACAATTACAACAACAATTACAACATCAACAACAACAATTACAACAACAACAATCATCATCATCTCGACATCATTGTCAGTCACGGGTACCTTTGACACCTGATATTCATCTGATTAATATGAATGGTTTAGATGTTTTTATCACAAATATTAAAGTTGATGGTAATGAATTTAGATTAATTCGTCGCGTTGATACAAACTGCGTTGATAAATGGTTATTATTATTAGCTGGAAGGCATAAACCAAGGCAAAGTGACCATAAATGGTAAATATTATATATATATATATATATTAATTCTTTTTCAAAAAAACGAAATATTTAGGATAAATATTAACAACATTATTAATAATAGGATCCCATTGGAAGAAGCTCAAGCATTAGCAGCAAAATTAAATCTTGAACTTGGATTATTTCTCGATCAAAGACTTTATGATTATTTTGATACAGATTTAGACTTTCCATTATCACCAGGAAATTGTTGTGGTCCATTAGCTGGTTTCGCACAATGGTTTCAATGTGTGAATCCTAAAAAAGTTTTTCCAGATTAAAATAAATAAATAAATTAATTAATTAATAATAATAATAATAAAGAATTTAGGAATATATATATATATATATATTTATTTATTTATTTATTTTGTATATGAACATTCACATTCAATTAATATATATATGTGTGTGTGTGTATACATATATTCTCATGATTACCATAGTTTTTGTATTAATATTTAATTTTTTTATCTCTTCATTACTTCATTTCATACTCAAATACTCCAATAAAAGATGAATGATCAATGAATATTTATATTTTATCCGTGATATCCAGTATTTATTCTTAGATCAATTAAATATGCGAGAGAAGAATAATGACATTTAATCATATTACCCCGATTTACATAAATAACCTAAATAATATAATATAATATAATAATTTATTTATTATAGATAGTGTAAACGAATAGTACAATTGTTAACTGCATGGCCTATCAATATTTGTTTTTTTTTTTTTTTTGATTATTTATTTTTATATTTTTTATTTTTTTTATTTTATTTATTTTAATTTTAATTTAGACCAATTAAAATTGGATAAATCTTAAAGTCATTATACACCTCACCTTAATAAGTTAATAAGTTTTTACTATTTGCGGTTATGACTAATTTGGGGGTAGGCTAAAGCGGAGTAGAATCATGTGAGGTGATTTCGGGTTAAGGCGGAAGTGTGATCGTATCACATG